TGTTGAGTCACTCAAAAAGCTCATGTGAAAATGGTTATCAGTTAGTATTGTGATGCTAAAACTAACCAGCAGATGGTGCACATCTCCATAAGAACTGGTTAAAAGAAACACCTAGCAGAGTCAATATTGTTCCTTACAGCCACCCACTGGAGTGTACAGTACAATGTAAGGTTAGCGCAGGAAAATGTTTGGATGGCAGTCAGATTTTTTTTCCCAGAAAGAAATGAACATACTGTAAGAAACTCTCCAAATGATAAAGTGAGGTCAACTTTTTTTATCTACTCAGAATTAAACATTTCACCAGGTACACCCATGTTAAGCTGGTTATATGAAAATTGCTTGTAGACCTCTGTATGATAACATTTACTTGTGATGAAAAGTAGTTTCATGATTACAGTTTAAACAGTTACTTCACTTTGTGGTACACTTTAACATTCTTTGTGGTGCACTTTAACAGTGCACCTTGTTTCTAGACAAAAATGATAGAAAGCTATGGGGAGTATATTTTTTTAAACAGGATATCTTTTAGAAAAAAAGATTAAAAAACTCTGGAATGTTAAATTATCAAGCAGCACTTCAGAAAGGCAGCACTGATAATTATGCCATGATAATAGAGTAATCTGTTACTGTGCGAGAATAATATGATGAGATTTTATCCCAGGATAAGGCTACTGATTTGTGTTCTAACCAATAAGTGAAAAAGTGTCATCTTTATTTGGCCTGTTCTTTCAGAAATGTGTAGAATGTTTCTTTTTTATTTCCAATTGGGTTTTTACTTGCAATTTTTATTTTGAATTGGCACATTTTTCAGTAATAATACCTCTCGTGTATACTTCAGGGCAGCTTACACTTAAGCTTAGTTTAACTGGGTTCTGGGACAAGCGTCCCTGTTGTGAGTATGCGAATGTTTTTGTGAGTACACTGCGACACATCCAAGGTGTACCCCACCTTATGCCCGTTGCTTGCCCATCACAATCACAAATGAGTCTTCAAGTCATAGAGTCACATCAGCAAGCAGCCATATCACCCTGCAACTCACAACTGGCAACCCACCGAAACTATGCAGGTGTGAACCTGGATGGGAGACCTCCTGGGGAAAAAAACTGGTTGCTGCTGGAAAATATGTTAGTAGAGCCAGCAGGGAGCACTCATCCTGTGGTCTATGTGGGTCCTAATGTCACAGTATAGTGATGGGGACACTACACTATAAAAAAGGTGCCGTGCTTTGGTTGAGATGTAAAACCAAGGTCCTGACTCTCTGTGGTCATTAAAACATCCAGTGTTTCTTGAAAAGAGTAGGGGTGAAACTCCGGCATCTTGGCCAAATTTCCAATTGGCCTTTACCAGTCATGGCCTCCTAATAATCCCCATCTCTAAATTGGCTTCATTACTATATTCTTCTTCCCACTAATAGCTGATGTGTGGTGAGTGTTCTGGCACATTATCATACAGGTGGGGTTACACATTGGTGGTGGTGGAGGAGACTCCCCATTACCTGTAAAGCACTTTGAATGGAGTGTCCAGAAAAGCATGATATAAGTGTAAGGAATTATTAATTCTAATAATTAATCATATGATGGAAAAGACTAATTTCAGGCATCACAACCATGAGCCACTCTGTGGTAGAGCACAGCCACCTTTCTTGCTAGCAGCTCACACCACAGATGAATAAGATGAAAATGTTAACCAGCCCCTCAGTTAACCAATGCAGTTGGGAAATCTTAAGAGGGCAAATTAAAAAACAATTTAGGATGCATTGAGGTTAGGTACCCTACCTATTGTGAATATTATGATAGGACTAATGTCTTATCCACAGCCCATCGTTTTTGATACATGAGTTTTGGTTTGGAATTTTAAAATAAAACAAAAATAAATATTAGAAAAGTTTAAAAAATGCAAATAGGTAAGGACCTAGCCCATTTGTTGCTAGTTCCTTACTGATCTGGAAATCCCATCTGAACATTTCTTGGAAGGATGATAGAAATAGCATATTTGAGTACTATAGTTTGTTGATTTGTTGCTGGTGCCTATGACATTGTGGAAAAAAGCTTCTTACCTTTACTCTTTAGTGAATATATCCTAATTTTACTTGTTTCCTGAAATAATTGCTATATGGTTGAGCCTTAAGTACTCCAATGGCTTGAGTTTGTAAATACCACAATACCATTGTTTTAACTTTTTTCTCATAATCTATGGTTATAAGTCTAAAATGGTTACGTTCCATTTTCCTGTCTGTGACATGCCTTTGAGTTTAGAAATTATTCTATCTCTCCACTTCAACCTCTTTTTTTCAAATGCAGTTACCAAAACTGTACACAACAATGAGGTCTTCCTTGCACATTGTTTAATTCTAATATTATTTCCAATATTTTTCTTCCTGTCCAACGTTATCTAGAGGAAGAACAAACTAAAACACACACCTTAAACCTTTTCATAGATGTTGCTTCTTGATATCACACACACACACTACTTAGTGTAGTCTACAAACCCGATGCCTGCAAGAAGACTGTGAGTATTGTAGTCTTTTTTTTCTATTTGTCATTTTCCAAAATAAAAAAAAGGTTTTCTTAGTTCAAAGTTACAGATACTGTACTTTGGAAGGGTCTGCTTTTTTGTTAAAAGCTCTCTAAATAACAAAATACATAGATGCTGTTTATTAATGTACAATTACTCTCATTCACCATGACCACATACAGCTCTACAGTGACTCTGAGTGGGGCCCTCATCAGTTTATCTTTGCAAGCAGAGAGCATTATAAAAACTACAGTGCATATGCCAAATAAGTAATACAGGGAGTAGAAATTGAAGGGAACAGACCATTTAAATTGCACAAGAAGACTGGAGCACCACACAGGCAACAGCTTTGGAACACAGCTGTTTTAAATCATTTGGGGATTTTTGGAAACAAAAGGAGCAAGTACTGTATTAGCCATAAGAGTATCGATCCATCTTCAAACCTCTTTATACAATACAGGGTCATGGGGGAGCTGGATCCTATCCTGGTAAACAAGGCGCAAGGCTGGGATGAACCCTGCAAAGGGACAGCAGTCCGTCGCAGGACACACACAGATAAATAAGCACACACACACACACGCACGCACGCACACACACACACCAAGACCGATTTCTCCAGAAACCAGTGAACCTTGACCGCAGGAGGAAACCAGCACAGATAGAGGAAACCCACATTAACAAGGGAAGAACAAACTTCACACAGATAGCACCTCAGGACTGGAATTGAGCCCAGGGCCTCCATGTCACTCCATAAGAGTATCAGGAAAGAACAAATTCATGTTACTTAATGAGGCAATATGTTGGTTTTCATCACATTTAATGGGTTTCCAACAAAATATACATCTGAATAATTTTACAGCTAAAATGTATTGTTTTCCTTCTTGCTTTTTATTTTACAGAATAAAAATATTTAATTGTTCATAGTGCAATCTACATTCTTCACTACTTAAAATAATTAAAAGACTTCACTTAAACAGCTTGCTTACTCAGCTGAGTTTTAACTAGGTAATGCAAAGCTTTCTGAGGGATTTATTTTTATATCTGTAGATACATAGAAATTATGACCTTTGCTTTAATCAAGAATAATAAATTAATATAATATATTATATATTTTATAATATAAAGTTAAAGCTAAAATAATACAGTTGAAAGTATTTTTTTCTCCAAGAAAATAAGTGTTACTTCCTTTAGTTTTTATTTAGTTAACATCTACCGGTATGAAAAGCATTTGTTTCTACCCCTGTAACACTGGAGTGTGTTCTGCTACTTATTTCACTGAAAGTCTGTGAGATCAACTTAATATTTAAGGCTCTGAACCCCCTTTGAAATACTCACAAAGCCTAACTATCTTTGCTATCTTATCAAACTGTCTATAAATGTAATAAATGCTTGAATAGATATATTTTTTCCAAGAAAAATATTTTTTAAAAAAGTTAAGGAATAGTTGTGTCTGAAACATTTATATTATTTTTTTTATCAATTCATCAATTTTCTAACTTGTTCTTCCAATTCAGGGTTGCAGGGGAGCCAGAGCCTATTCAGGACACCAGTCCATTGCAGGGCCAATATATTTTTTTTTTCTAAGAGAACTTATTTTTGGATGGCCTTGGTGATTCATGCCAGCATCTATATCACACTGCAACTCTCATCTGGCAACACACTGAAGCTGAGCAAGTGTGAGCCTATCCAGTATCTGGATGGAAGAGCTTTCCGAGGAGGTTCTGCTGGAAGTGGTGGTAGTGGGGCCAGTAGGGGGCACTCACCCTGTGTTTCTGTATGAGTCCTAATGCACCCGTATAGTGACAGGAACCTTTAGATGAGATGTAAAACTGAAGCCCTGATTCTCTGTGGTCATTAAAAAAAATGGGTGTTTCTTGAAGAGTAGGGGCATTACTCTGGCCAAATTTCCCATTGGCCTTTACCAATCATGGCCTCCTAGTAATCCCCAATTTTTAATAAATTGATTTCATCGCTTTTTTCTCCTCCCCATTCTTAGCTGATGTGTTGTGAGCATACTGGTGCACTATGGCTGTCATCACATCATCCAGGTGGAGTCCCCATTACCTGTAAAGTGCTTTGAGTGGAGTCTCCAGAAAAGTGCTACAGTATATAAGTGTAAGGAACTATTCTAACTATACTAACACAGAATGGAAGCAGCTCTTGGATGCTGTGTTAGTATCCATTCTCAGGCTTTTGTGAGTGTGGAGTCTACAGGTTTTTTCCACATTGTTATGGGCTTTCTTATGTCTCGTCCCAGGTTATGACATTCAGGTTAGGTTTAATTAGCTATTTACATTGTCACTTTCTACATGACACTGAGATTAATTTGTATTCCAACCAGAGGGAGAGTTCAATTAACTTAGACTCACACCTGGATAAGCAGCTTTTTGAAAATGTAAGTTTTAATTTGTATGATATATTTAGGTCTCTAGTACAATATACTTGTATGTTTTTTGTAAGAGTCAAACAATTTTTTGAGACAAGTGTAATGATTCTCTCAAGACTTTATTTCTCATTTATTTTCAAGATTGTGAAAAAATGATTTAAAGAATCATATAGAGAAAATGAACCAAAGATTGTGACGAGGAGTCCTTTGTTGATTCTGTCGAGGGTCAATTACTTGTATTTCAGGTAACAAGCCAGAGTAATGGGAGCTTTGAACTGCTTGTGAACAACTCCCAAGTATAAGTACCATTTAATATTTTAAGAGGCTAAAATTAATTTGACAATTCTATAAGACAAAATTGAAACTGATGGATTGGGAACTTAACTGGAACAAACACATGAGATCCGTCAGGACAAAGATGGAGAACCACTGTTGTAAAATCGTTTGATTTGCATTTTTCTTGATAATATTCAGAACAATTGAGAAATCTTAATAAATAAATCCCTATTTAACTTTGATCACTAGCAAAAATGAAGTAGAATTAAATGAAAAACTGCACATGCGTCATTACCAAAAAGCAGAGCTCTTGCAAAAGGAATTTTACATCTTATACCATATTGTCCTATTCTAGTTCTGCATGTGCACTACAATCAATAATAAAATCTTGAAATGTCATTCTCACAGGGAAGTTTTTAAAGGATCCCATTAATGTACATACTGCCTCAGCAAATTCTATAAAACATTGTTGTTCAGCCAGGTGTATATTTCATCTCTGTTCTCTTTAATCCATTCAATGTTGTTCCTTACAGTTTCAAGAGCCTGTTTTCTCGGTGTTGCTCCTGCACCAGCATCGGGATACTTTTCAAAGAAGTGCTGCATCTGAATTAAAATTAAAGAGACGATAAAGGGACAAATGCACTTAAACAAAGGCAAGTATTGTTATCAATCAGTAGGAAAATAAAGAGTTGTTCTTGGTTCAACAAGGAAACTTTTTTTATCTAATAACAAATCACAAATGTTGCTGCAATAAAGTTATTTTATCCATCCATCCATTTTCTAACCATTCAGTGTCATGAGCTGAAGTTCATCCTGGCAAGCAATGGACACAAGGCAGGGTACACCCGGGACAGGATGGCAGTCCATCAGAGGGCAGACATATAGACACAAACACACACGTTCACACTCACATCTAAAGCTAATTAACCTGCCGGGTTGTTTTGGGACAACTGGGGGATACATACAAGTATTAGGTAACAACTGTACCCTACATCACTTCCTCTTCCTATATCACTTTACTCTTTATGAATGACTAAAGATATTGATAACATTAAAGTGAAAAACTTTACTTTCCCATTATTTGAATTTTGTGTTATCAGTTTAAGCACAACTGTGCTTTTGTCCATTGTGATTATGCTGTAATCTGTCTATCACATTTATTTAACGCCTAGTTTTCATGGGAAACCACATAAGGAAACATCCCATGAAATGTGTTGGTATGATAGCACGTTGTACATTTATCCAAGATAAGAAAACATATGTCATCAGTTTCCATTATCTGTTGCTGTCTATCATATTTTTAAAATTTGTACATGAAAATGTGACTGGCACGTATAACATGTTCTTAATTAAGTAAATAATGGAATAAACAGGCTTGATACTTAATGTTTTCAGTACATTACCTGCCACAGCTGAAGCTCAGTGTTAAAGGTATTTGAAATTCTGGTTATTAAGCGTCCCAAATTCCTGTCATTAATGGTGAATCTGCAACATTGAGAGAAGTCACATAGTGAGGGTGGAAAAGAGCCAAAATAACCCACAACCTGGAGGCTTTACTGGATATTGTAAAAAATTGTGCTCTCTCAGAAACAGTAAATAGATTGAAATTCTGTTTTTTGGGGGAACAATATTGATCCTATGTGTTGTCATAATAGACACATACAGAAAGAATTGATTAGCTCACATCATCAGTGTTTTGTATCATCTTGTGGATTATCTCTACCAAGGTGACTCAGGGTAGTTTTCCAATTTTCAGTTCACTGGTCAAATGTATCATCTTTATCATATCCTGAAACAGGTAATGCTCTAAACAGGCCTATGCAACCTATTTACAATCCACATGTATCAAGTTGCTTTCTTAAGCCAAAGCTAATGAGGCCTTGAAGAGATTCTCTTGTTGTCCTTCACTCAGGTAAGAGACATGGACCTGTGCCACATCACTAGCTACCCGTGAGTGAGCTTTCCCTATATAGTGAAATACAGTTGTCAGAGCAGGACTATGGCAGGGCTAGGATTAGTTAACTAAGTCTGTCTTGGCTACCAGTGAAACAGTTGGTTCCTGAGCACCCCTCAGGCTTTTCAGTGATGCCTGTGAGGATTGTACTGCTTCACTGCAGAACATGCAGCTTTCCAAAAGGGCAAATAACCTATAGGGTGGGAGGCACACCTGCCCTTTCTCAATTTCCCCATGCAGTACGAGTATAATGTGAAATGCAAAACATTGCAATGATTTAGTTCCTTAAAATAGATTCCGTTAATGCAATTCGTGCAATTCATGGATCAATGGTAGTGAAATCTGATGAGGGAACTGATAGATGATATGGAAAGATAAGTTCATCCAATGGAGAATTTTTGTGTTTTTTTTTTTCTGAAGAACAGCTTCCTAGCTACGTATATGAAGAGAAGCACAGACCTTCCTTGATGAGATGTACAATGCAGGTGCAGCTCTGCCACAGTAAAATAAGCAAAATAATTTCCAGTTGAAATTTTCATCTATATTAAGTCCTGCCTGATGTGTACAAACAAATTAACAAATAAGGGTCAGTATTTGTATTTGCTTCATTTGTACTCTGGGTTTTTATGCATGCGTTAGGTCTACAGTAAGCAAGTGTGTGTGGGTGAACAAAAGAAAATGAAGACTGGGCTGAATATTGTTCCAACACTGTCTCATTTGTGAAAGGACAATACATGTGGCCTCCAGAAAAATAATATTCCCAGATTTGGTCAAGCTCCAAATCAAAAGTGATGGGTGATAACATTTTCTCTGTCGGTTAAATACAGATCTCTTTGATTGTCCTATTGAAATTGAACAATTTGGTGTAAATGCAGTTCCTATTAGGAACATTAAATGAACAATGTCTCAGCAGAAAATTCAAAACATTGTAAATCTAGTGTCACATATATGGATAACTACAATGCTGTTAAAACTAGAGGAAATTATATTCAGAAATACTAACAGCTTCATCCACAGTGCCATCCCTAAAAACCTTTATTTCTTAAAATATACTTGTTTCACATTATGTCATTCTCATTAATTCTAGCAACATATAATAAAAACTTTGTGCAAATTAAGTAATGTAAGACATTGTGTGTGACCAATTATTTGTGCAACTCTACTTCATTTTGAATTTTTATAGTATTTTAGTATTTTCAAAAAACTTTAGAAAAGCCTTATACATAGTTATAAAAGGTGATTGTAATGTTCTTTGTTTAGCTTGAGATTTTGTTTTCAGAAATTACACCTAATTCAAAGACATTTAGAAACCCAAGAATGCATAATGTGAAACTCAGACATTTTAGGAAACAAAAAAAAAGAACATTTCATGTTTGCATCCATGTGTCAACATAATCAAATCTTTTGTGGACATACCTGTTTACCAGATATTCCCAGTTCAGTGTTGTCCAGTCCCAGGCCATTGTTTTTCCATATTTGTTATACGAAATGTATCTAATGATGGTAAACACATCTTGGCTCCTGACGACACTTTCATTTCTGATGGCTTTCAAGAATCTAGAAAACACAGCAGAAGTAAAGGGACAATCTGCTTTAGTTTGTAGTGCCTTCAAAAAGTGTTATACCTCTTTGAAAGAAATACTGTGTAATAGATTGTAACAAAAAATATATAATTACTTTTCCAGCAGACTGATGTTCTCCACTGATGCTAGTCCATATAGCAGCTTGTCCTTCTCCTGAGCAAGTGGTGTTTCTATGTATTTTTGAAACATATAATTCCAGGAGGCCTCATTCCCAGAATTTTTCATTCCATATCGGTACACCAAAAGTCGCAGGTTAACTGGAATACTGAAATCATGAGAAGAGTGTCACTATTTAATCAATGTATTAGCATACAAAAATACAAGAATGTGATAGTAAAATCTTACACTTATATAAAGGAAAATTGGCTAAGAACAGCCAACCAACGTGGACTCTTTGTATGCTGATTAAACACTGGGGATTTGAAAGTTGAGCCTTGTGCCAAATATTTTGTTCAGGCTAGTTTGAGTTGTTGCTTTGTATATTTTAGTCAAAACATTTGATTAATAGCTCTCTTTGAAGTGAAACCACATTCAAATTTAGGTTTCATTAAATATAAACATATATATGTAATTCATTCTGAGGCTCTATTAGACTAAGTGATTTTGAAAATTAATGGATATAAAATAAGTATGTGTATTTAGTAACAAAGGAACAAGTAATAGGTTTATTCCATGCTGAAAAAAAGCAAAAAGAAAACACAACGTTTCGGCTGTGGACCCTTCTTCAGGTGTGAGACACACTCCTTTAAGGCCTACGCATGCTGAAGCAGCTAACCACCTGAACAACTTTAGTAGCAAAGTAGTTTTGATAATAATCAAGGTTTTGTGTTTTATAATGTTAAGAACTGATGTCACTGTGCTTTTTTTGAATGCAACATACTGTTAATGTAAATGATGTACAGATAATAAAACAAATACTTATGCCTCCTAACAATTATGAACCATTTCCGTGACTAGGAAATTGATCATTTTCTTCTGGTGCTTTAAAAAATACTCCTTCAAAACCAACAACATTTAGTCTATTGTTGTACAAAATTGTGATCTCATCTCTGTTCTTTCAGCAAACACAACAGCACAAGAAATCCACCTTTTTAGAAAGAATACTATATAAAATGTGATTAGCTTAAACAATAATGAACTTTCAGCACCTGTTAACCACTGATTTCAAAGTGACAAGATGCCCACTGCTTTTTGAGCCAAACTGATTGAAACAGAGTCCAGTGATAGTTAAGAGACCACACTACACATGTGATTCCCAAGGTCCTCTTGCCTTCAAACACATTTATAACACATAATACCAGTAATTACCTTTGACCTTCTAGCCACTTATTAAATAACACGGTGGCCTGATCCAAAGCACCTTGGTCTCCCATCTGACAAGCGATTCCCAAAACAGTTTCACGTCGTAACCTTTAATGGACAGCAAAATAAAAAAAAGGAATTAAATAACTTTAGTCAAAAACATTATACTTTTCCCCTATGTATTTTGCAGCCATAACACTAACCTTTCCAATTGGGTTCCTGTGTCTTCCCATCCTTCCTGAGAGGAAATGTTCCTAACTTGTTGACGGAAATAAGCCTGGTAATAAAAAAAACACATATCAATAAAAGGGAAATAGCGGTATTGTAATTATTTTCTTAACTGGTCAAATAATAATTATGAATGCAACCCTAACATTACTGTTGGTCAAACTCTGAATGTCAGAAGAAATGCTTCCAGTCTTTTGTACTTATCACAGGTTTCTTTTGCTGGCTGAATTATGCACTTGTACTTTGAGCCCCATTTACTTACAAACACAAAATGAAGGTGTGATCATTTAAAATGTCTTCTTTGTGGTTACAACATCCAATACCTGTCTATAATTTTTGGTCTTCCTGGAGATACTTCCAGTTTGTCACATGCCTTGTAAAATGTATCATTGGATAGGTCTAACCTGTCAAAGTCTGCTCCTTATGCAAAACTTGTAGGAAACTGTCAAACTGTACTGTATGTTGTAAGGATAACATATAGTGTGTCACTAAGGTCATATACATTCCAATTGCCACACATTGTTCACAAAAATGTGCAAAAATTCTAAAAAAGGCCCTTACAAGTGACTCAACCAATAAACATGCTCAATTAAATATAAATTGAGTTCTTTGATTATTGGTTTTAGCCTCTGTCATGTCACTAGTTACAGTAGGTCACTTGTGTCACCAAGGTCGCTAGGCCAGAATTATTTGGTCTCCAGCAGCACAGTGACCCATGTGGCCTTTTGGGTGCTTTCAGGCATGCTATGATGTTGACGTGGGACATGCCAACTCTCCAGTCAGCTCTTAATCTCTTGTGTGTGTCTATGGTGCCTATGGTGTGTTAAACAATGAGTGAATAAAGGTGGGAGTCTTCTTACACTTCTTCATACTCCCCTAGGTGCATTCATGAAGTTCATAACAAAGAGCCAACAAGATTGTTCCAAACCTTGTGAATACAATAAAGATAACTGATGATATGTAGTCAGTTAATAAATGGAAACAGCAACCAATCCATCCCAGACAGTGCCACCAAGAAGTCTTGAAGCATTTGGTGGCTGATATACAGTAAGGGCAGATGTGCCATTCTTTTGTTCTAACCTTGCTGTTAAAAAATAAAAATCTTCAAACAAATTAGCCTTTTTCTTAGTTGTTATGCACAACTAATAATTGGAGGGATAAATCGCATTGAAATCCAAGACTTGTGAAGTACAGCGAGAAATGGATGAGAAGCTCTTTCCCAGAATGAATATAATAAGGTGGGTTAGAGATCTGAAATTTACTTAATATTTATTTTTCGGTATACATCCAACTGAACAGGTTTCACACTTGTGGACCAATTAATTTAGGATTAAGAAAGGATTGCACCTATGTTAGACAGGAATTTATGGATTAAACATCTAAAGCCAGCAAAACATGTCATGACATATGTCTTAATTAGCATTTCTTCTCTCAAGGAATTGGGCATGTTTGTAGACACTTAAAAATTGTGTGATTTGCACATGCAAATAGTGATAATCCTATTGATTTGAATCACCACTCCTTTCTGTGTATGCTACTGAAATCTGTCTGTTTTAGCAAAATTCAGTTTTTTTGCATCGGAAAACAATTAAATTGAATAAGTATCTCCATATCTAAAGAAAAAGTGGATTATTATTTTCCAGACAAGAAACATTATTTGCATGAAACCCAAAAAATCACACATTCTGATACTTTCTCTGATAATTTAATGCCAGTTATGCTTGTGTTACTCTTCTTTCTGATACTATCATAGAGAAGGTCTGGAATGGAGGTTCTCTGATACTAGCTCTGTTATCAGGAAAAAAATAACTACATTCCATACGTTATCCCAGAAAATCTTATACAGCAGTCCCTTTTCTTCTTGTCATTTTGACATTAAAATAATTAAATAAACAATAATACTGAGTAAAAACAATTTCATCAAATGTCCTGTCCAGCTGTACAATAATACTATAAGAATTCTTTTGCACCAGAGCAGAATTTGTTTTTAATTTGCTAGAAGGTTTTGAAAAAGCAACAACAAGTCAATCTGCATGGAAACAAATATGGTCTGCAAAACTAACACAATTAATGTTTTTAACTTAAACATGGTTAAAGGATTTTAAAAAATATATATACTTAAATAAATATTTTTAAAAGAAAATTTTGTACTGTAGTTTGAAAGACAGTTTGAAAGAGGTCCTAAGCATGCCTTAATTAAATCATTAGTTGAAGTGTTACCTGGAATTTATCATAAATGTTGGTGTTATCCTTCAGCATGTCCCGCACATATGATATAGAAGTAGCCACTCTATCCCATACTAGGTAATCCATTTCAGCTGTGAGGTATTTAGTCAAATTAAATGCAATCCCATAGTCAAGAAGATTTGCCCTGTTAGAGATGTAAAAAATAATACAGCATTTGGTCAGGTACTCGCAGTGTAGTTCAGCATTATTGTTATTATCAGTACTGTTAAGAGTGTGTCTGAGATAAAGTTTGTGGGTTGCCTTGAGCAGTACTTTATATAAAAATTTCTCATGAGCATTATATTATGTGTTCCTTGAGATAAAGATTATGGAATAAATCATTTTAACACATTTAAAGAGATGTACACAGAAACATTAGTAATCATTCACAGTGAAATATAAGCACGTGAAAAGCATGAAACAAAAAGATTATAATTAAGAGGGGGCATTCAGCTATTTGGTTGCTAGCATGTAATTGATTAGCAAGGTAATTGCAAGGAAAACAGTAGTACATTTTAAATAAATACTCAGTTTAAGATAATATTGTATTCTAATACAAGGTACTTATAAAAATACACATAATGAATTCAAAATGTAATGTTAATTCTTTCAAAATGTAAATGCTAATATAACACGTAAATACAGGACTGTTATCTGATGTGTTCTTATCAAGCAGCTCGAACAGAAAGTTTATTTTCTAGGAGATGTAATAATACCAACAATTCTGGGTATATTTTCTGGGACGTAACAGACAGAAATGCTGCACTTTAATACAATCAATAATAACAATATTTTAACCTTTCCCAGTTGATCTTGACTCTGGGGATGTTCTTAGCATTTTAAAGATTTACTAAGGTGCATTTGAATTTATTTTAATGTTGCATCCATGCAATATTTATATCTAATCATTTTATATCCTTATAATTAAATCTCATTATATATGTGAGATTAACTATAACTATATCGGAATACCTCCACCAACAAAATCTCAAGTAAACATCTGAGTTTAATTTGCATGAATAAGGTTGGTAACTTTTCTCAGTCAATTTCTGCTCAAAAGATTTAAGACATGACCAAAGAGGAAGAATCAAAGTACTATGTGTCTTTTTCAGTGCAGTTTACATGGACAAGTCACTGCTTGTTTGCTCTCAAACCTTTTCAAATCTGGGAACACATGTTTTGAATGCAGTTGTCTTACTGCATAGTAAACACCATTCACTGTAGCAATTTAATCCAATAAATGTTGGATTTATAAAATGCAATAGTTAAATACCACTGCCTGACAAAAACAATAACTATTGTAATTGCGAAGAGCACTTCACGTGAGGCTTTGATGAAAATATGTTATGTATCTGCTTATTTTCCCAAATAACAAGAATTTGTTTCTCTTACACAAGACTCTCTTTGTATTATACACATGCACAGTTATTTAGCAAAGTCAAACAACACCTCCTTGTTTTTTGTGTTCAAAATTATTAGTCCAATTTTTAGTGTGTTGAGGGACATTCCTCCTTTATGTGCAGTATTTTTCATGTGTCTACACATTTTGCATAACAGAATTGCGCTGAGACCCCTGAATAGAATCTAGCTGCACAAGGGCCTTGGGCAGACCTGAACCTGTTAAGCAGGGAACATTAGCAGAATAGTACCTGACAGCCTAAGAATGGTTACAAACGAGAGGAGACCATTTGACCCATCTAGCTTGTTTGGTATATATGTGGCATTTGCTACAGGGAATTGGTCTATAACTTCTCATAATTCCCACTCCTTGATTATGATGGTATCTATTAAACAAATTGTGATCAGGAAGTTGGTAAATTCAAGTCATTGTGCAGTGGCATTTGTGCAATATGAATAAGTCTATCAGCTTATGGTTCATCATCATTCAGCTGATATATGAATAAGTGATGTTTGCAGGGACAGGAAGCCTGCACAGAGGTGTTTAATGTACTGTTCCAGATACAATGCAGCTGAGTGTCCAGAAGATGAATGATGCTTTTGTGATGAGCTCAGTCCTCTGGTACAGAGTATGGCATGACAAGAACTGGTGTGTCGAATGTTGTGGCCACAACTCACCATGATGATCTTTTCAGGATATTTGTGGATTTGACCCTTAGAAAACATTAGTTAGAGTTTTGGCAAAATGTGTGATTCAACATGTTGTCTTTATTCAGGGTCTGTTCTAGAGTACCCATGGTCTAGAGTGGAAAATGGTTGTTGTTTGGTACTTTTGTCTACAACTTGAACAGGGTTCTTATGTTCTTTTCCACTGCTAAAATTGGACTGTGTCAATGTTGTCTTATTTCATGATGGGTGCTACTTTTTAAGATCTTTTCCAGTGGTGCCTTAGCTACACAAAGCAGAATGAATGGGAACTTGATTTAGGGTGAAGGTACAGGGTGATTTGGGGCACAGGCTGGTTTTGGGCAGCTCCAAGGCAAATAAGGCTCTGACACTTCTAGCAATTTCATAAAAAATGAAATTGAGCTATACTTTTGTTTCCTTACATCTGACATGATTAAGAATAGAGAGCCTGAATAAAAATGAGTACTATACAGTCAACAGATGGAACATCCTCTTGTTAGAGAACTTCACTCTCTGCATTAAGACATAGAATTTAGGTGGGCCGATAGTTAGGAGGAATTGCTTTGCAAGTGATACTATTAATAATTGCGCAAAAAGGGTTGTATGTATTTTTCATAGATATATTTTCAATGGGCATTGTTACCATTATGTATTCCAGGCTCTCACAGCCCTTTAGTCAACAAATGTCATTGCATTTGATTACTGTAATGCTGAGGCCAATATGAATGAGTGATAGCTTATATTTAAAATTTATGATGACCTATGAAATTGTCTAGGACTAAGAAAAGGCTTAACATTGTGGGAACTGACCCAGAAAAAAGGTTAAAAAAGAGGAAAGTAACTCTTGCCCCATCTGGCTGAGTGTAAATGTTCCTTGTTGCCTGGGGACATGTTTCAGGGAGACATCATTTCTGGGGGTGTAGTCTAAAAGTAGTTCATCATTATCTGGCCTGTTTATTTGTGGTCAGTGCAGTGGATTTTGAATACTTCCATTTAAATGGCTGGATATGGCAGAACTGGAACGAATTGCTGCTAATAGAATTGACTTGAAAACATGTAAACATTTTCTATAGTGAAAAAGCCAGCCCATATAATGTCACAGAACATGGCTGATGATACAGGACCTGTATCAGTGATTTTGGACTAGGCATAGGTGGCATGGCCATGACTGTTATAGGGAGTGAAGCAGAATAGGTACTTTGATGTCATAGCGACCTACTTATTTCGTTTCAGAGTGACTCTCTTGCAGCAAATTGTGTAAATACAGTGTTGGATGACTAGACCTATGATGAGCTAACACTTGGCAGCCAACAGTGTTGAGTTGTAAAATGTGTTAACAGGCTTACACACTTTTATCAACCACTTTATCCAAGAAGCATGGAGCATTGGATGGGACTGACTAATTTCATAACGAGACATCAGTCCATTGTAGGGCACATGCACATTTACACACAGGTAGGTGTACAGGACGCATGTAAGAGACATCATGTCTGTGGACTGTGGAAGGGAACTAAAAAAAAACATGGGTACAGAGTGTGCATCCAAATTCCACTGAAACACAGACAGAGAGTCACATTCAAAATGTGGACTTTGGAGATGCAACGGCACTGCTGCCCTTCCTTTTGTGACTCTTTCTTAACAGACTTACAGTATGTGAATAAGATTAATTATCATTTTCTTGTTTGAGGTTTTCACCACATAACTAAATTGCACCATTTTACAACCATTATGCTTTTTTTCAGGACATTTTAGTGAGTTGTTTTGCTATTTTGTTTTGACTTGCACACGGGTCACGTTTTATTTCCTGTAAACATGTTTGTCATGACAGGACTAAGCACCTCATTGAGCAAGGAATGAATAGGTAGATCCACCAAAGTTCATAGCTGTGGAGGTAATTGTCAGGCATGTGAAAACGTGAGGCGTGATTATCAGATGGATTCTTCTTGCGCTTACTTCACTTTGATGATGTAAGTACCTTTTCCAGACATGTTGGATGTGGGAGTAACAATGATAAAATACACTTTACATTGTCATAAATAACATTTTTTAAAAACATGTCACAAAGCATTGCACACGCAAGTGATCCCCAATATCCTCTAAATCCAACCATTAGTGAAACTATTTCCAAAAGACCAAATCTATAACGCGCTGTTGAATACACTAATTAAATAAATAAAATAATAAATAGATTGTATAAGCTACTGTATATATCATAAGAAACAAGACAACCTTTCCTTCAAAATGATGTATTTCAAACACAAATCCAGAATCACAATTTTTATAAAACTGTTTTCCTTTTGATGCAGATAAAAAGATGTGCTCTTTTCAAAGACCACAAACTGCTTATTTGCCATTTTTATAAAAAAATATATTGCAAAAGGAAAACCATGCTAATTAGAAAAACATCAATAACCCAATCTCCTTACTGTCTAATAGGAAAGCTCTTTTCGCTTTTCTTACCAGTATCTCATGTAATAACCACAGAAAAAAATAACTGTATTTGTCCTTATAATAGACTTGAAAGGTACACCTCTTTCTTTAGTTGCTCTGACTGGTGAAAACAGCAGTCTTTCTGTGAAATCTGACCACTTACAGATTTAGGAGAGGTTTTTATCTGTTTCCCTTTGTGTGTCTGCATGTCAATCAAGTAAAGATCAAACAAATCCTTTTTTAATTTACTCCTATAAACTGGAAAGGTTATTTGCACAGTATAAACGGTCTATTTATCATGGTCTCTTTAAACATTTGTTTCCTAATTTTGTGTTTTATTTTGGAAGGCTAAGAAAACAACGTCGCTTTATAAAACAGAATTTTGGTCTTTGTTCTATCACTCTCACATTTTTATCCAAAATAGCAGACATTTTAGACAAGCCCTGCAAAACATCTTGTTAAAATAATTTTATTTTTATATGTTTTTTTTTTCTGTTTTTGTTTTGGATTTTTTTTATTCTAGTATGTGTCCTAAGTAAGACATATAAAAAATGTAATGGTTTAATCTTGATTCAAACCAGAAAACATTGAGAATATTAAAGACATAAAAGTTATCACAGGGAGTCTTTAAAGTAACTTTAAAGTAAACAGAGCATAGAAAAAGTTCTGATCACCTGACTAGCAATTCAGGAAAAGCGAGATTTATAGACATCTACATGCAAAATAGTTTAAATCGCCAGACATATCATGCTATAATTGACTTTACATAGTTTATAACACATTAACAAAAAATAAAATTATGTCTGGTATGTATACAATCTATAAAATGCCACATTTAAAGAGGAAATACAGCTGAACATGTCAGCTTTAACTATTTTTGTTCTTTTACAATATCTTTGTTATTTATTCAGTATTAAATAGAAATGTTTTGAGGTGTAAATTATTTGCATATCTGCATTTCAGAAGTGATGTCTGTTTTGACCTGTGCCACTGTGCATATGTAAGGCAACATAAAACAACATGATGTCTTTTACCAGTAACTTACTGAGTAAGCACCTGCTAGCTTCACGGGACAAAATCATACAAGCTCAGAAACCAGAACTGAGTTTTTCCACCGAGTAGTTCCAAACCTGGAATATCTTGTGTCCACATGCCTTTGTTTCTTAACATATTTTTAAATAAAATATGGAAAACAGAACATCAATATGTCTTTTTAATGACACCATAATCATTGCAAACATATATGTATATTGCACCTACCGTCCAAGAGAAAACACATCATCAATGTATCCTACTCGGTCAGCTGCGGAAGAAACCTGTCGTAAGAGACAAAAAAATAAAAATGATTGATTTATGATAGATAGAAGCAATCATAACAAAATCATCCAAAAGTATAACGTTTGATTACGATTGACAGCAGCTACGTTTAGTTCTCCCCAGCTGTCCTAAATCATGATCCTTCCTGAAGTCATTTCCTCAAGTTAAAAAAACTATAAATATCATACATAAGCAACTTCTATCCTTCCCAACTGTCTTTTGCAGTCCCTCCACACCATCTCCACCTTCTCCAGCTTTGAACAAAAACAATAACAATAATATTCCACCCATCCATTCTCTAAATAATTCATCCTATTCAGGTTCGTGGAAGGAGCTGGAACCTATCCTGGCAATCAACAGGCATAAGTCAGGATAGACCCTGGATGGAATGCCAGTCCATTGTATGGCAGACAACCACAGACACGCACAATTTGGACAATTAGGACCAATTAGGACAATAAGGAGGCAGCAATGATAACCTCTAGGCCACTGTGCCTCCCATACATTTATTTATATAAATATAATTTAATAGGGACTGCAATATCCAAGAATTCAATGCTTTGTGAATGTTTTGAATACGTGGTGAGAAAACATTTGCTTTAAATAATTATCCTCCTGGCCTTTGGATGAGGAGGCTCGAACCCCTCTCAGACTGAGTGAACCAAGGGGTGGCTGCAAGCTGGAGATGGGGTGGAGGAGGGATGCTTGAGACAAATGTTGCTAGTTTCGTGATAATGGTGATTAGGTGCAGCTGTGTGGGATGGTCTTACTGATAAAACTGATAAAATACCAAATGATTAGTTTGAAGCTGTTGAGCTATATCGGTCCACTGCTGAATTTCATAGTTCACTCTATAAAATCCCAAGTGATGTCTGTTTATTTTCAGAAGTCCGTCCACAGCATGGTCATAGTCTTCCAATACAAATTCTTCAAAAAGAAAGAGAACAAAATGAACAAACATGACAAAAGAAATGACATAAATGGAAAGCATCAACAGCAAAAGAAATTGCATTTGTCTGTTTCCAATTCTTTTTTTGTTAAACTTTAAGCTTTATTCCAGGATCAGAGTCTTACATAAAACTTTAACATGCTGTAATGGACATTTCAAAACACATCAATGGATCCTTTCTCTCCATATGTGCATCTTCACCAATAAAATATGGTCCATTGAGAGAAAAAGAATGACCAAGGGCAGTATGAGAAGTATATGGAATATGTCTGAGCTGGATTTTGACAAATACAGACAAGCTTTGGCTATACAGCACAAAATCAAATGTGAATTTTTATCTGTTCTTATATTGATGTTACAGAATTTATATTAACTAAGTATGCGTTCTGATGAACAGCATCCAATACTTTAAACTAGTATATATTTTTAAATTGTTCATTATATAATAAAAAATAAACCTGTGTTGTCTCTTAATCAGAACTTTTATTTCATCACATTTTTAACAAGGTGCCATGTCTTCTGTCTTCAGTCTTGTTCCCTGCTTCTGCAGTCATAATACATAGATGTATGTACTACATTTACTACATTTATTCTGTTATTTACTACTTTACTGAACTGCAGCAGTTTGCTCTGGCTCACTCCTAGCATTAACAATACCTTTCTTCTATAAACCTTTTATCACAAAAGGAAGGCATAGGAAATATGTGGACATTGTCATACATTTCATTCCAGGCACAATTTGACGTATTAAGCCACATTTCCAGAGGAAATGCTTATTAAATAATACAGTAAATTATACAGTATGTTAATATTATTTTTTTGTTGAATGTGGGACTTTTTAGTTTTCAAGGAATTAATACGATGTTATGAATAAAAAACTTAAAATACTATATTAATCTGAATTAGATCTTTTTTAACATAATTTAAAAAACACATTTTTTCTTTTTCATAAAACAGGAAAATATTGTAATATAGAAGTAGAGACAAGAGTCTTAAATATTATATCTGATGTTGAAATTATTCTCTTAGCGGTGATCATGTAAGAAATTTCATCCTACCAGTTGTCACAGTCCTATTGTACAGTCCAGTTCCATTCTTTTGACCACCCAAAGCATACCACTGAATAGGAATTGTCCATGTGTAACTACAATTAAACAGATTGTATGGATTTAATATTTAATAAGATTTAGATTTCACAAGCACAAGCACACAAATGTCTTAGAAAATGTTTGTCATTTACTATTTGTGTTATACTGTAAATACTCAATATTTGCCATTAATAGAACTTGATACACAAAAAAAATCAAATTTGTAAATTATTATATTTTTACTTAATTATATAAAATGAGAATATTTCAAAGTTGAAGACATCCAGCTTTTCTTGGAAGTATGTTGCATTTTTTGTCTTTCTGAAAAATTAAGTTTTATGTAATCTATACTGATATGTTCCAATTCCTTATTACATTGCATGCTTGTTTTATTATAACACCACCATTCTTATTCCATTCTTGATAACTGTAATAAAATATGCCAAAGACAATGTAGTAGCTGTCAGGACTTCCATTTATCCACTGCTTGTGATGTAATACGTTGGTACCAGTGTTAGTACAATAATATTGTTAAACCTAAGAATACTAGGGAGGGAAACTAGAAAGTGAACAAGGTAAGTCATCATAAAACATAAAACAAGCACACCACTCTTTGAAGCTTAAAAGTGAAAAAATTGTGCCTCACTCTAACAGAATCTCACAAGACATGACCAGACACACTTTCATCAGTGGTGGTTTTACAAATATGAACAAAGCTTTCTGTGAAGATAAAGCTGAAGTTCAAAAAAAATGAAGCTTGCTCACTTTAGGGCTGAAGGTGGTTTGGTGGGGTCTGCTTGAGGATCCAACAGAAAACGTTTTTGACTCAGACGTGAACTCTGTGCCACATGTAATACAGGATATCCCATTTGCTTAGTCCAGGTGTCCATTACTTCTTCTATTGGTTTCCCACTCACCTAAATAATAACATTATTGACAAGTTAGCCTTTGGGAACGTAGTTCTAACTTATCTCTTGAAACTTTAGCTTCTTGCCAAAAGCGATACTAGTTATATACTGGTTTCTAATAGCTGTGGAAACCTCTAGATTTAATTTTATCTGGCTTTTACTGTACCTAAATAGACAGAATTGTTGTTTTATACTGGTAATATACAACTGATTACTTCAAGTTATTCCAAAAGAGGAATATGTTTCTTTAGGAAGCAGACTTACCATATTTACCATAAAGCAGTAATGTTTTACATACAGTAAGGGGAAAAATGTAAATTGTTAACTGTTATGTTTGTTTCTCTAAGTCTCTCTGAGAACCTCTTAGTCTGCTGTTATGACTAAGAGGTAAAAGGGTTCAGGTAAAAAAAAAGAAATACTTGAATATTGTTATTCTCCCTGTGCAAGTGTATTCTTTTTGCCCCAAAACAAATTCCCTTTTTAAAAATTCATATAAGAGCTATGACTTTAAATGTTTACAAGTATAAAGAATATATGAAATGTGAAAGGTATTCTCTTTAGCAAAATACTAATTCCTTCAATCAATTTATATGAATTCTATCATTAACCATTTCAGCATTGTTCAAAGGACATTATGTTTGTTTCTCAGGAATTGTATCTAAGGATCTCGTGAAAAAAATATTTTCATACACAGAATGAAAGTCTTGTGTCGTATTTTATTTTGCTTTCTTTGTTTAGTTTTGGTGTTATACGAAGCAGAATACATGTTGATATAGGTTATAAGGAAGTTGCAAGGAAAATACAGTGCATGCATTTCGAATTAATGCACATAGACACAAATGAAGAACAAGATGTAGTATTGTGCACTATACACCTGAAGTTTTGTCAGACAGGAAGGATAAAATGCATGGTATAAGGATCAGGAATTATGAAAAAAAAAGCTTTTTAGAGAAATATATACATAGACACACCTCAGCTAGGGATCTCCAGAAGTCTGTTGTTTTTGCATTCTGAAAACGGTACGTCTGCAAGTATTTCTGAAAATAAAAGGAATATCAAACATTAATAACCTTTAACCATTTGTATTCAAGTACTGTATTACTCTGATTTTTGTAATATGTCTACTAAACTGAGAGGCATTTAAAACAGAACACATTATTATGGTTTCAATATTTCTGGAAAGGTATATATTCATTAAAAAAATCATTCATTTAATTTCCAAAGAATCGTTATATAAAAGGGTAAATTTAATCTTGGTCTCTTTGGCCTGTGTTACACATCATATGCAGTATAGTGTAATGTTCTTTAGATTGGGAAATGTGTGCGTGATTATGGTGATGATCACATATTACAGCACCTGTGAGCATGGATACAAAAAACTCCAGCAAAATATGCAGTAATAATTGCTCCCAGAATTTCCCTCTATCCAGATACTGTATTGCTGATTATAACTGCACATTATTAAACAGCACACTATCAAGCATCAAGTTGTATAAGCTGAAGACAAGTTGAAAGTTTAGTGATATAGGTGTTGGAGTAATACTTCTCTTGAAACTGCTTCATTTCTGAGCATTTCTGAACCCCAAACCCATCATGCTGCACCCACCTGGCATCCCTCCTGAAACTTATCTGGACCCATCCAGTCCTCCAACATTCTCAGGATTGATGCTCCCTGTGGATGACACGATTGACGATTGTATTAATAATCCTCAAAAACGTAAATGTTCCTTTTTTAATTAAAAACCTGAAAAGCCATCTTTAACTCACCATGTATACACCTGTATTTAATATGTTAATGTGTGTTTACGTAAAGAGGCACATAAAATCCAAAAATACAACATAAAAAACACATGTAAGAATAAATGTTAGGATTTAAAAGATTTATTCATTAAAATTTGTCATTGTCTAAAAGGTAAATTAACCTTATTGTCCAGATAAAATATATGCTTAATGGTTCTTCATGTGTTTTCATTTTAATAGTAGAAGTAATAATGTTATTAGAAGTAGCACTTGTATTAGTGGTATTGACCTTGGTAGTAGCCAGCACAACATTCAAATATATAAATGTGCACTGATACTCTTAATCCAACAGAGGGCACCATTTTAGCAAAACAGACCAAATTTTGAGATGATCCGTCTTTGACAGAGGTCCTGTGTCCTGTGACATTGCTTTGGTTAAGTAACACTTATAAGACAACTCATTCTACAAACAATTACTAGTGAAGGACACTAGTAACAAATATAAAGCATGTATTGTTTTTTAAAAGTAACAATAATCTCAAGGATTTTCAATGAACAAAATACGCCTCTAGAAAATCTAGAAAATTTTCTGAGGGAAAGTCTGTAAGAACTGTAATTGTCAGTTTACAGGAATAAATAAGATTGTCAAAGGTTTTTTCAGTTCACATTCACATATTTAAAACTATTATTGACAGCAAGAATGCTAATATACTGTAGTTAGTGGTTGAAACAGTAGACAGAGCACCTTGCTGTAAGATATTCCATCAAACACAGATGTAATTTCAGCTGGACTTGACACATCCACAATAATTGGGTGAGAGGAAAGCAGGGCATCATCCACCATGACTGGTAAAACATCGTCAATGAGCATTATATCACGCTGGAAAATAAAGACAGGAGATGTACTACAGCACTTCGTGTACATTGTATAGTTCTTATTACAAGTACAACACATTACAAATAAAAATCACAGGCATTGAACCTTGCTTCGTAAGGATTCTCTGATTAACCTCCATTGCATCAAAACAGGACCTTGCAATTGTTTTCAGACCCTGGCACAGTTCTTACATATTTTTGCTTTAACACTTGCCATCATTACATTTTGAGGTAGCAATTAATATTTGATTATGTACACAACCTACTCTACAGATTCAAAGCAAAAACAACAAAAAAAAATAAGTAAATAGATAATTAACTGGAAAGAGAAACAGAAAAGTCATTATTGCATGTATTGAAACCCCTTTACTATGACAAGCCTATCATAATTTAGATGTGCAAAAAGCATTTAGAAAGTTCCATACTTTAGTGACCTGTTTACAGAATGTATTTGCAATATTAGTGGTTTACTAATATTACAGAATATTCAGAATGAATACATCTGTCTCTGTAAATCTTTTCAGTAAGGTACTGAATGTCAAGCAAAGACTTAACTATGAAGTCTAAGGGGCTTTCAGAACAACTCATGGATAAAGTTGTAGAACTGCACAGACCAAGATAATGATAAAAACAAATTCAGAGACTGAATAAACTTTGAGCTCGGTGAAGTCGATGATAAAAAAGTGGAAGGTATATACTGTAGTACTTAGACAAAACCTAGAGCAAACTGTCTTTCCAAACTGAGCAGCCTACTAAGGCTTTGAAAAAGCTGCAGATTTCAATGGCTGAGATGGGAGAATATGTCTATGAGTCTATGAGTCAAAGCTGGCATATGGCAGCGTGACAAGATCCTTTACTAAACAAGAAAACATCTCAAATGAAAAAAGAAGTGATACAGCAAATGTGGCAAAATGTGAATAACTTGAAAACGTTATATTTAGTACAAAACACTGGATCCCTTTGTCTACACCATCTCTACTGTCAAATATGGAGGTGGCAAATAAATGTTATGGGACTGCTTCTCTTCAGTAGTGACTGGGAAGCTTGTCAAGACTGAGGGTAAAATGAATGGAGCAAAGTACAGGAAAAGCATAGAGAAAAACCTGCTTAATCTGCTGAAGACTTAAAACTGGCATTAAAAAAATCACTTTCTCCAGTAAAAGTCCTGTTTTGAATCTTGCTGAGAATCAGGGAAAGCCTTGAAAATTGCTGTTCATAAACAGACCCCAAGCAACCTGAGAGAGCTTGAGCAAATCTGCCAAGAAGAATGGGTAAAAACAGCACCAAGCCAGTGTGTAAAGCTGGGTAGAGAAAACTCTACTCAGAAAACTCTGTGGGTGTACAAATCTGAGTAATAATGCAATCTGCATATTTCAGTTTTTCCCTTTAGTTTCTGTGGACATTGACTGTATCATTTACTAAAATTGTATAATGTAATATTATGTTATAATATTATGCCCGAAGAAGGCTCCACAGCCAAAACGTTGTGTTTTCTTTCTTCTCTTTTCAGCATGAAATAAACCTATTACTTGTTCCTTTGCAGCCTACGCATGCTGATGCAGCTACCCACCTGAACTAATGTAATATTATACTATAACAAGTGGCAAGGATAACTCATCTGTTATTTCAAAGGGTGATGTACATGTATCTTCATATCCATGGCTTCGTCCCATGGTGAAAATCTCTGTACCTTTTCCCAAATACAGTAAATATATAGTACACTACTCTTCTAGTTAATGTTCCAATAAAGCTATGTCAACTTCTCTTTTGGAGAAATTAGGCATTCAGAGGATGTTTACTCTAAATCAGGAATGCAAATAATTAACAAATAATAAGTTGTTAGCATTACAACCAAACTAATTATTAACTATATACATATCTGATAATTGGGATAATAAAAACTGCTAGCCTGTTCAAAAGAACATTAAATTGATTATTTATACTGATACTGGATGAATCATACAGTGTATTACACAAAACAAATACAGAATATTTTTAATTTCAAATAAAACTCACTTAAAAACTTACCATTTGCCAATCAGGTTCAGCTTTGTTGACACCAATGTATTCAAAAAAACTGGCAAATCCTTCATTAAGCCACAGATCATCCCACCAATTCATTGTCACTATGTTCCCGAACCACTGCAGTAAAACAGTTATGAAAAAATTACTGCACCATATAAAGTAATTTATTTTATCTTCTTTTTCATGCCCATTGTTTTTTAAAACAAAATCAAAATATAATTTGTATTCAAGACACATTGAAATTCATTGTATAGACACTAAAATGATTAGACTTAAATATAAATGTAACATTTTACTATTCAATTGCATTCTTATCTACTTAGGAACAATACTAAATTAAGAGAAAAGCATTAGTGATCAATTCAGAATAGCACTGTGGTTTTATGAGTACATGACAACTACTCATGACACTGGTAGATCACAAGTATTGGGAACTAAGGACTGATTGGTTTATTGATGTTTGTATAAAGGGCTAATGCAACTATATGAAATCAAGAAAATGGAGGCAAAATATTTATTTCACAAGGCTGTGGGTAGCACTGCAAAGATATAGCATGTACAATAAATGTCAGATTTGGAGGTCAAACAAGTACTCAATGTCCTGTTACTGTTCTAGTAATGAGGATAAGTCTTCTATAGATCAGTGGGTGTCAGTCTTGATCCTGCAGTACCCATATCCAAATCCTGTTGGATTTTGTTCCATTTGGGCCCTTCATCACCACTGCTAATTGTTACCTGTAACTGAGCTACTTGCTAGTTCATGCTTTTTCTTTCTGCTCTCAGCTCTTGGTTTAAAAAACACCCACGTTAAAGTGTGTTATTCCTAATAACTTCAGCACAGAGAATTGTATGCAGTCTCTCCTGAACATGCTAATTAAGAATATGTTCCCTTATGTCAGACTAAACGACTCTTGATAATCAATCAATCAATTGATGATGAACAAATACTGATGGGAATGACACTAACAGACTGCTCTCACAATGATGCAGAGTTTTTCTTTCTGCTGAATTCTAATTGCTTATATTTTTTGCTAGCACCAGGGCAGTTCTAAAACTCGCTAATTGGTAAAGGATTCATACCATTTAAAAATCGAATTTAAAAATAAGACCCCCAATAGAAAACTGAAAGAAATCACTATGTGAGTAATAACAGAGGTAGAGCAGAACTACAACCTCACTGGGATTACCAAGTACCAGGACTGACAACTGATGTTCTGGGGTATTTTTGAAAACATGGCCTGTGTGCAGAAAAAAGCCTAAACAAGCTAACAGATCAGTTAGTAGAGGCAAATAGCACGGGTACTTAAGCACCCAGTTGAAATATAAATCAGGAGACACATAGGGTACTAAAGGACCAAGACAGAGAACCACTGCTCTGTATCATAAGAGGTCTGCAAAGCTTTTCAAGAAAGAATGGGAAAAAAACATATTTTTTGATTTTTCAAAAATATTTTTGTAAAACACTAAGAATGATTTTAATTCTAATACTCATCATTGTTTGCTAACTACAGCAAGCCGAAAATAGCCCACAGGTGAATACCCTGCATGTACAACATGTCACATAACCCATTGACAGAACTGCTATCTGGAAAGTCTAAATATTCATATGTGCTCCTATGAATTCATGCCATTTGCTGGGTACATGCTCTCTTCTGTCCTTCAGGTTCCAAACAAATGAAGAACTGGAGGCTCACCACAGTTCCAACAAATTGGCAAACAATCGGCCTTTGTACTCCAACTGCCATTAGGTCTCATCAACTGCAGCTACTAACAACACTTGCCCAAAACATTCAGATTAAAAGAAATGAAAAACAGAGGTACTGTAACTCGGGTGTGTTATAGTTTTAAGTCCCATCATGTTCAGGGTTATTGGTTTGGGGTAAATCATCAGTTATGCTTTTGATGTTGAATTACTAGTGTGTCTGTAAGTAGGCAGGTTTGTTGTTTATGCATTTCTTGGGTTGGCAGACATTTGGTCAGCTCTACTCTATGGTTTATGAATTTGTGTGAAACTGCTTTTTTCTATAACAAAAATTTGAGTAACACTTTCAATGAGAGTCTTTTACAAAATGTTACCTATTTATGGAAATGGAATGTAATTTGGTACAGCTTTAAATGTATTTGTTTTACCTGATGAACAAGCTCGTGGGAAATAACACTGGCTACTCTTTGCTTGTTGTATGATGATGACTCATTTTGGTCATACAACAAATTGGTTTCCCTGTAGGTGATCAGTCCCCAATTTTCCATGGCTCCTGTGCCAAAATCAGGGATCGCAATCTTGTCTGAAAGAAAATAGCCATAACATGTCAAATAAAATAGAAAAACAACAGAAAAAATGTACCACCCTTTTTTCATTTTTTTCTTTACTACAGTGAGCTCCAAATTAGTTATCTTACCCTTAAAGCTTCAGCTATTCTTATTTAATAAGCAAAATAGCTCCATATCTCTAGCAATAAGCAGAGCTCTAAGGTAAAGCTAATCAAATATTGAACTTGACAATTATTCTGATTTTTGGTAGAACCCATTATTACAAAGACATTTCAATGAACTTCTAAATTCAAATTTTTCAGTGTCCTGGGTATATGAGGATGTGCAGATATCAGATCGTGGCAAGTCTACAAAAATAATATGAAGCAAGTTCATAGAGGGGTAATCATAGGAGTTTCAACAGTTGATTTGTTTTTAAAATAATCATAAGCTTTTCACAATGCAGTCAACACAATGTGTTCTAGTGGCATTTATGAGAAATAAAACATTTTTAAATAACTTATTAAACTTTTACAGTTATGACTTAGAAAATAGAATTTTGCAAACTTATAATGATATACAATAACAATGAAATGTATGAATTAGAATTTAAAACTTCCCCAGAAACTATTTGACCATTAAAATATCCCCTAAATTTTTAAATTGACACTGGTTTGGTTGTACTGGATAACACAAGATCATCAATCAGGTATGTTTTATAAAACTGGTAAGAAAAATCCGTTTAATTGAAGTGTTTAGTTCATTGGCAAGAACCAAAGAAACATAATATTCCAACATTATTTTCTAAAATTGCGCAACTCATAGATTAAATATGGCACAATTATAAAAGTGATTTGTATTGATTGACTATAGTTTTGATGGATAAATAGCATACATTGTATTGTTTAAATAGAAAAATACATAGACCAGACCAGATTATTGAAAACATTGCACAGTGCTGTAGGAATTTAAATTCCCAGGATTTAATGTACTGTTGGCCAGAAGTGGGCTGCATCCATCTTACAGGCCAGTATACCAGGTTCAAGGATATTTTGTAGTCTGCGACCTACCCTTTTGTTTGAAACAAACCCATTTACACAATTTTTCAACACTTTGAAAACACTAAAATACATTGATGCTAATGTTTAGAACTTTGTTTGACCATATCACAAATATTTGAAAATGAATGGACAAGATAACACATTCTGGTTTGTTTGAAATGCACTATGGACATATTCCAAAATGGCTGGGCAAAACTCCCACTGGGCTGTGCACACTAACCAACAAAATCATCACCATGGAGCTATTGAAGGTCATCACATTCCTGCCGTCCCAAAAATGTGTTTTGACATCCAAATATACAAGTTTAAGTTGTATAATAAAAATAAGTTGCGTGGCCTTAAGCTTATATCTTTTATGTTTCTATTGTTATTCAGCTTTAGGATGCTCAATATGTGTGTTCCATCACATCATCATGCACCACAACACCAGCATGTGACTTGTGTTTGGCCTCTGCTCTTTGGAAGAACAACTCCTGCTGTTACCCAGAAGTATAAACTCAACATTTGGATAAACAATGTACTGGATTGTACTGGTAAAGGATGTACCGGAAATATTTCTGACCACTAATGTTAAGTCACCTTAGGAAACACAACATTCCTATATTCTATATTAAGCAGTCCATACTTAAAATTAATGATTGATTGCTGGTAGAATCAATAGCACAAACCACTTGTGGTTCCAGTAATAAACACTGAGAGTAGTCATTTGCTTAAGAGATGCTTAGTGGTGAGGTGAAAGCCGTTTTCTGTCTTTATTTTGAAGTGATGAAAAACAAAAATGAAATCTCCCGGAAAGAATTTTTGGTATGGGATATTAACTTACATCATCATCAGCATATAATATTTTAAATGGGAAAAAAGATGGAGAAATGACAAATTAGAACTACAAAAAATTACCTAGTTTAGGAAGGGAGTAGTTCATGTTGAAATAGTTTTCAAAATAGTCGAAGATTTCCTTGGTTACATTGGCAGCATATTCTGCTGTGTGTATCTGCTCAGGCTGGACATAAATTCGCAGCTGAAAGAAAAGCAGTAAGTTTCAGTATCTGAAATTAAAATGCACAGATTGTAACTGCCATCATTAAAGCAACAAGAAACACTTTGTGTACTGTAATTCATTCCAACAAGGAACATATACATTGACAAATCTGTCTGTTTCATAACATAAACGTTCATTAATTATTTACTGAGGTAATTGTTTTGTACAGCTCATAAAAATTCAATTGCTAGCCCAGATGCAAGAAAACTGTATCACATTAGGTCATTAATACATTGTATAACACGGAATAAAAGCTTCACTTAAGAAACTAGACCTTTAAAGTTCATGTGTTGTAGAAACAACAGATCAAAATATATGTGGTAAAGGTTCTAAAACCTCACGAATTAACATGATACATGGAAATAAAACATCATGTTACATTATACCATGTACCATGTACCAAACCAGGTACTCCTTACAGAAATCTAAAATGGCTTCAATAAATAAAGCAATTTTTCAATTGATGTAGAAACTAATAGTTGTTATATTGGTGGATGGGACCTAGGGTGCCAACTGTGAAGAGTTTGTATGTTCTCCCTAAGTTTGCATGAATTTCCTCTGGGTGCTCCAGTTTCCTCCCATAGTCAAACAGCATACTGGTAGCTTAATTAGCTTCTGGTAAGACAGGCCCTGGTGTGAGTGTGTGTGTTTGTGTGTGCCCAGGGATGGACTGGCATTCCATCCAGGGTGTACCTTGCCTTACACCTATTTCTTGTTGAGATAGGCTCCACCTCCCTGTAAGGATTTTTTCTCAGCTCAGATGGACTGCCTAGATGAATAAATTAAACTTTACTTCAGAATGAATATTGTATATGCATGGTGGAGTGAATATAATTCCATAGAAGTTAAGAAACAATATATTTTGATGATCCAGGAGGTTGAAGTGGTTCAGAATGATGCACTTCTTTTTCCTTATGTTACCAGTAAATTTTGACATACACCTATGTTGTGAATGATGTACAGTAATAAATGACTAAAATCCTTTAAAACCACCTAACACCACGTACTGTCGGAATTGTGTCCCAGATTGACCTGGGCTAGCAGCAAGATGAAAAGATTAGAACCGTGCTTGTCTTGTCTCTTCTGGGGTACAGAGCCTGACACAACCAGGTTCAAACAAGTGTAAGATTGTAAAGAAAGATCTGTAAAGTGGCCATCATGAAGCCAAGCATCGTTCTAAAGTGTGAGCTTGAAGCAATCAAGCACAGGCAATCACGCATGACAATCATCTGCTGGGTGGGGAGCATGACCAAAGAGTAAAGGCAAATGTCTAGGAACACCATGCATTGAGAGAGCAAGAGGGCACTCTTCACCTAATGTGCCAAGAGACACAGCAAATAATGTGTGTAATTCTCTATGATAGTGTTAAAGTCTATGAGTGTAAATTAGTTCTTACTTTGGACTATTTTTTGCACTTTTGACTGGAGTAGCTGGTGTATGTTCAACATACAACTGTAAGAATTTATCAATGAGAGCTGGTGTTTGGACAAATGCCTTTTTCACTACATTGCAGGTATGAAAGGCCTCAAATATTGTCCTATTGTAGGGGGAACTGTTGCTCATATTCTCAATTAATGAGAATATCATGTTCAATAGTCTTTGGAGGTATCAAATTAACAGCAGGAATTTAACGAAAGATCGAACACAAGATCGAAGGCCTTGACAAGGTAAATTAATGCACTATAAAGTGGTTACATCTGCTCAAAATATTTCTCCTGAAGCACATTCAGCAAAAAGGCCATATCAGTTTTAGATCTTTCATCTCTAAAGCCCAAATAAAGGAGGCTCCAAACGTTTTCAGTGTACATTCGACCATAATTTTTAATATGCCTCTTGCACACTGACACCAACGTCATGTAGTCTTGCTTTGAAAGAAAAAAATAAGGAAATATTTAAACTCAATTCCTGTTGGGCTGCACTCAGATGGCTGCCAATCAAAAAGAGGAAAAAATCTGATATGGAACATTTATTGCAGTATTGGTATTACCAAGACTTATAGAAGAACAGTGAAGTAAATAAATGGAAGGAATCTAACAATCCAGGAAAAAGACTTTGGGAGACATGGCTTGGTTTGACTGGATAATTTTGTTATACCTACTCAGTGGAGAGGCAGGGGATGGAGGGGAAAACCAATTGTCAAAAACAATCATTGTACTATGTATGGAAATCTTTTGTAAGTTCTAATGCATATGCAAAACTCACTCCTAAACACAATATGTATGGTAACTGAGAGAAATGTTCTAAAGTATAAAACTGCTTGTAAATAAAGTGCGCAGAGCATTACAAGAAAATTAGGCATTTTTGCATATTTCTGGTTATTCTCTTGAAATGGCGTTTTTTTCTTAATAAATTAAAACTTATTTCTAACCTTTCCTAAACTGCAGCGTGAATTCTTGCAGGCCTACAAAGTGATGATATAGACTGCCAAGGTCACGCAGCATGACAAGAGAATGCTACTGCTTTAGCCAAATTACTGCCTGGTGTGGCATAACCCGTTATACAGGAAATTAGTTAAATTTTAGTTTATTTATCAATACAGGATGTAATGCTATTGATTTAGCAAAACTATTGACGTTCAGCATTAATTCAGATAACGTTTCCCAGTTTAATTCATGAATATTGAACATTCTTGATGTACATTTTTCTTTGGTACATCTTTTAGTTTAAGTTTAGCAAGGTCAAGCTTTATAAAATTTTATGTTTTTCAATTTTGTTCATTAATTTAATTTTTTGAAAAACATTAATAATTATGAACTTTACTATTGAAAATAGGGATAACCTTGCTTCCCGGGAGTGCCTGTGGCCTGTGTATCCAAACCAGCTGTGGTGTTACATTATCTCAGCTTAACACACACATCATCAACAGACGTGTTACTCTTCTGTTGAATCAATTTGGACAGCAAGTACTGTAAAAATTATTAAATAAAGGGCTAAAATGCAAGAAAAAATCTGAATTTATATGAGTTATGAAAATCTTGTGCCAACAAAGAATACACATTTTCGGGGGGGGGGTCAGAAATACAGTACTATTTGTTGAATATACCCTCAGTAAAAGAGGGTTCCTTATTTCCAATCCATTTATGTTGAATTCTAATTTAGAGCCAAGGTGGAAATGAAGATCAGCAAGTTTAATTCAGCATGGCTGTATGGGGATTTGGGTGAATAATTCTTTGGCTTTCACTAAAGTTATTTCAGTATTCTAGAATCCAATTTATTCACAATTGACTTAAAAACAAACAGTAGACTTGTGTACAGTGCTTTTCACTAGAAATGACCTTCATATATCTTCAACTATCCTTCATATACATACTGTATATGTTATCCATGCAATTTTAATTTTAAGTTTAGTAGTCATACATGTGCCTTACAGAACTTGTTCTGCTTTTGTTGTTCAGTGTCTTAGATTGTAGATGTATTTGAAAAACAATTTCTACTTTCATTTCAAAATTTTCAAAGTGTTTTTTATTATAACTATCAAAGAACGATCAGACCCAAAGCAATATTAGACAGGTGGTATATTGAAAATGCTAACATTATATTTATATTAATATGAGTTACAGTGGACTAGAATGGAAAAGTAAAATGAAATCAGACAGATGGATTGAGAAATATTAAAGAGAGAAATATTATGGTAAAAATGTGTACCTATCAGTATTATCAGTATTTAACAATCCATTATCTTGCATATTTTTAGAGCTTTTTGCTTCCAGGTGAGATCTGCTTCCAGTATTCTAAAAATAACTGTAATGTCCTATGGATGTAAATCTAGCAACAAATTATGTTTTATGTGGGAAAGAGTGGAGAACACAGGACATAAGTTTTATTTTCAGTAAGATATATTTGTATTGCATATGCTATGGTTAAAAATAAGAACATCTTCTCCATAAACATAAAACATATTAAACATGCTAAAATGTTATTTTTTCTATAAGCCTTATTACACACTTACTTGTTGTTTTCCATCTGCCATATCCCTTTGGATAGCAAGTGCCAGAGCACTCTGATAGAGCAGCTGTGAACAGCTGCAGGAAGCTCTTGGGAGATGAAGCTCTGGAGGGTTTTATTGTAGATTGGAGCTGGACAATATTAATTGTAAAAGCCTGGTTGCTAGGTTGCAGAGCAAGACTATACAAAAATATAAGGGCCACAGACTTTAAGTAGTAGTGTTTACACATGTGACATCCAAATTTAAAAAGAACATAAATTCCTAATAATGTTTTAGCTTTCAGTAGTAATTACAACCTACAAGCCCAAAGATGGAACAGATTTTTATATTGCAAATTAGCTGTTATATAGAAAACACAAGTCAAAAGAGTGAGAGCTATAATATGAAATAAGCCTCTCAGTCAATGAAAGCAAGTGCGTTTTGGATGTCCACAAGAAATACCATGAGCACACGAGCCTTATCAATGTTGGACTAGCTTAGGACTTAATCCTAATGTTTGGTAACTCAAATGCATGAGTTGTAATTTCTGATCCTAGATCTCCCAGTTGCTTGGAGGTCATCAGTTAGAATAGTACAGTCTCCATTCTAATAAAAAAGTAAGCTCAAATCTATGAAGCACAATTAAGAATCTCTCTTTATCTCCCTTTATTTTTCAAAGAGCTCACAGTAGTATCATTTTATACTCTAGCACTTACACCTACAGTATGTGAGGTGTAACTCACCTTGGGCTTACTAAAGAAACGCCACCACGTCTCTCCCTCTCTGGCTAATGTCTGAGAGGCAAAAAAAATTTTGCTCAGGTGGAAATGGACTTTACACTCTTGTTATTTTTTTTATTTGTGTGCTTGCTTCTGATTAGAAACACGTCCCTTTGTAGTTAATGTTCTGAATATATAGGATGGGTATGGCATTGTAGACACAGTGCATAAAATGATCAATGTGTTTGTGAGTGAGATCTGTAAGCTAAATAAAGGTTAATTGTATGTATCTTGAGCACAGGAGCTAACATATGGTTACCAATGTTCTTTACCTTCTTTTTTGTTTTTTATTAAAAAAAAACTGTTGTTTTGCCTTATTATGATTGGTGTATTTTTTTTCACTTTGTAAACAAAAGAGCACTATTTGGAGCCTGATGGTCTGCATTCTGGGTGTATCTGTCGGTTTGTACCTGCCTATTTTGAAAGCCCTGTTGGTACCTGCCCTGTGCAGCATCACAAGTCAGATAAGGTTTAAAGTTTTCATATAAGTTAATGGAAACGATTAAAATGAAACTAAACTAGAGGCCCATATATTGTAAATAATGTAGCGGTGAGGCTTATTAATAAGAAAGAATTAAGTGTTTCTGAGCTTTCCCAAATTAGGCCTCATCTCTCTGTTCATCTCTGTGGTGCAGCCCCCAAAAAACTATTCATGCAGGCTGATTTAGGGTTCCTTTGATAAGGACAGCTCCCAAAGGGGGATGCACTTAGCTAAGCCTGGCTATCATGATCAATGGTCATC